CTCCTCCTCTCCTCCTCCCTCCTCCTCCTCCTCTCCTCCTCCTCCTCCCTCCTCCTCCCTCCTTCCTCCTTCCTCCTCCCTCCTCCTCCTCCTCCTCCTCCTCCTTCTCCCACGGGCACTTCGGACCCCCTCCCCCCCCCGCCCCTCGCCAGCTGCCTTCCTGCAATGACGTTCTGAAGTCTTCGCCTCCTCCTCCTCGTCCTCGTCCTCCTCTTCCTCCTCGTCCTCCTCCTCCTCCTCGCATGACGTGGAGATGTCCCGCCCGCTCTCGTATTTGTTCTATACACAAGAGGTCCACAGTTGATACGCATGTTCAGTTTTTCTCCACAGTCCGATTGTTCTTCGGTGTTTCGAAAAAAAAGCGCTCCCGCTGCAGCGTGGCCCTCGTGTTCGGATCGGGGCTTTGCTCCCGTCATTCAGAGTGGCGCTCTCGCCCCAGGGTGGGCCGCATTTCTGGATACGAGTCCTTCGTCGTCGTCGTCACCCCCCTCCTTTCCCCTCCTCCGCCTTCCACTCCAGTTCCCGATCCCGCTGCTCGTCCTCGTCTTCCTCCTTTTTCATCCTCCTCTTTTTCATCATGCTCACCCTTTGCATCTTCCTGCTCATCCGTCACCTCCTCCTCCTCCTCCTCCTCCTCCTCCTCCTCCTCCTCCTCCTCCTCCTCCTCTTCCTCATTCCCCTATGCACTCAGCTCCCTTTTTCCGCCTGCGCATAGAACGATTCGGTCTTCTGGGGATCCTGGTCCGTCATGACACGCATCGGCGGATATACGCAAGCACGCGCCATTCGAGGGGACATATGGGAAGGGTATCGGCCAAGGCGCGAGCGCACCCAGCTTGCCTTCTCCCTCTCTCCCTTCCCGGCCCTTCCCTCGGCTCCCCTCCGTGGCCCGCGGCGGCGGCGACGGCCAAGGCGGCGCCGACGCCGCCACGCGCGCCACGCCCTGCTCCGAGCGCGCCCCAGCGCCGCGCTGCGCCCCCCCTCCGCGGCGAGCGGAGCGGGCGCGCTGCCAGCGCCCGCCGTCGGCGCCCGCCCGCGCGCGCCGATGGCCCCGTCGCCGTGGGCCCCCGCGGGGGCGGCGGCCGCCGGGCCGCCGGCGCCGCGGGCGACCGCGGCCCGCCCAGCCAGTTGCGGCGGCCGGCGGCGGCGAGCGGCGCCGGGTGGCCTCCGCGGCGGCGGCGGCGGCGGGCGGCGAGCGGCGGCGAGCGGCGGCGGGCGGCGGCGTGCGGCGGCGCGCGGCGATCTGGGGCTCCCGGGAGGCCCTCGTCGCCACGGCCAGGTGCGCGCCTCGGAGTGGCTCTTGGCTCGAGCGCGCGCCCCGGGAGAGGTCCCGGGAAGGGTGGCCTCGGCATCGGGGAGCGGCGGCGAGCGGCGGCGAGCGGCGGCGCCGGCGACCTGCGGCGCCTCTGTCTCTTGGGTTTGGGGTGTTTCTGGGGGGCCCCCGTCCCGTCGCCACGGCTGGGCGCAGCCTGAAAATCCTCGGCAATGTGGGTGGGGGCCGCTTCCGGCGAGGGCGCATCGACCGCATGGCCCATTCATATCCGCTAGGGTCCGCATCCGCCCAGGAGCGTGCGGATCCGCAACTGGGGGCCTGTCGCCGATCCATCGGCGACATCTCCCGGGTTCCAGCTCGATGTGCTCCCCCTCGGAGCTATAGTGCCCCCCCCCCTTCGTTGCCCCACAGGCGAAGGACGGCGAGCAGCGGTCCGCTCGAGGCCCTCGTCGCTGAGTCGCGTCGGAATGCTGGTCCGAACGCGCCCCGGGAGAGGCGGCGAGCGGCAGCGAGCGGACCCGCGGCGGCGGCGAGCGGCGGGCGGAGGCCGACGGTCGGCGCGCCGGCGCCGAGCGCAGCCCCCCGGCGGCTGCGGTCGGCGGCGTCGCATTTTGCGGCGTCTGGAGGTCGGAGCCAGCCGTGGGTCGGGCCTGTCCTCCTACAGGCGGGGGCGGAAAAGAGGGGGGTGATGACTAGGGGGGGGTGGATATCATGGTGGGGGCCATGATATTTCCCCTGATACCTCGTAGAGCTCTTCGGCATCGATGAGCTAGAGGAATTCCGGCGCGGGGTGGAGCTAGTTGGCCGACCCGACCAAAAGAGACAATGTGGTAACTTTGGGTCGGTTTTGCTGATATTTGAAAGATATTTGACAATTCATTTTGAGAACCGGTATTTCTCTCACGTGTAGTGGGTTATGCCGCGTCCGCCAGTTAAATTCTCAGGTCCGTAGCTGCAATATTACTATCAAAAGACTTGCAGGAACCGACGTTGGATAAAAACAGAAAAACGTGATTTCTCGAGTTTTTTCCTTCCCGTTCCAGAAGCTTTCTTCATGTGCTCCGACGATCGCCGTGCAAGAAAAGAGCTCTACGAGGTTCCGGGCGGTAACCAGGTTGACGGTTTACCGCCGGTTCCCATTTCATGGCGCCTCTTCTTATTCTATTGCGTCCCTGGCCTCCCCGTTGGGCCGCGCACATGCCGCCGGTCATGATTTGCACCCCCCCCCCTTTTGGACACCCCCCTCAATTGGCCGCTCCCGATACAGGCCGAGTGTGGGAGAAAAAATCAAACAGTCAGAGCAGAGCCAGACAACTAGTCCAGAAGAGCACGAGAAGTCGTCCCCATCTTATGTTTGTTCGCCATTCTCGGGTCGCCCTCCTGCAGAGGGACACGCCCGACTTCAGACTGGGGGTCTGAGGTGGACCAGCACTGGTTCAGGCCAGCAGGACGGGCGGGCAGGTTCGAGCGGTTGCCGTTTGCAGACTCCAGGGCCGACAGAATACAGATTTGTGACAACAATGCGCCAGGTGGACCCTGGGAGGGATCCGGGGACGGATTGTGAGCGGATTTGGTTTCATCCCCTTCCTGACCGATCTTCGGGCCGGACGAAAGGGGGGGATTGGGAAAGGGGGGGTTATCACATCTGCTGCATGCAGCTGGTTTCGGCCCCGCCGCCGGGCCCATTCCTCGATATACATGGGGCGCCTCCCGGCGCCGGGAGGCGCCGGGAAAATCAGCTGCTTGAGTTGATTCTCGACCCCCCCCTTTCCTTGACGCCCGAAATTGGTACGGAAAGAATGGGTACAATGCCCAACAGCAGTTCCTGTTCATTTTGAACAGGATTCGCTGTCCATGCCGCCGCGGCTTGTGTCCATTCGAGACAAAAGGCCGCCTGCCCAACAGCGGCCGCTGTTGGTTTGGGACAACATTTGTTGTTGGGCAGTGTACCCATTTTTTGTCGTACCCATTTCGGGCGTCCAAACCTTTGTTATCCCCCCCTTTCGCCCGGCCCGAGCTGTCCCATACGTCCCAGCCGGTGCCGATCCCGCAGGCGCTTCCGCTTGTGGGGGCGTCCTCGTCGCCACGGCCACGCGCGGCCGGGCACGGCTGGCCAGGGCGGACCTCGATCGGCACGGTCAACGCGAGTACTCACCGAGCGCGTTCGGCTACTCTCGGGCCGGACGAAAGGAGGGGATTGGGAAAGGGGGGGTACGAAATTTGCTGCATTCAGCTGGTTTCTGCCTCACCGAGGGGCCCATTCCTCGATACATAGCCGCCTCCGGCGCCGGAAGGCGCCGGGAAAATCAGCTACGTGAGCTGATTCTCAAACCCCCCCTTTGCTATCCCCCCCTTTCGCCCGACCCGAGAGTCCTCACCGAGCGCGTTCCGCTACTCGCAAAAGTCGCAAACGTCTGAACAACAATAAAAAATATTAGCCTCGATGCAATGGCTGGTAGATCCGACGCGGCGGATGCCGGCCATCTGCGAGGAGTGGAACGCGCCTGTCCAGTTGCGGAAATGCTGGGGGCGGAGACCGACAGTTGATGGGCCTGTTTTCCACCTCGACCACCATAAGTTGGACGGGGGAAGGAGGTGGAGGATGAGGAGGAGGAGGAAGAGGAGCAGGAGGAGGAGGAGGAGGACGCCCTTCCCCTTCTACTTATGGTGGTGGCGGTGGGAGACAGGCCCACCAGATAGCAGGTCTCAGCAGTTTTGAATTGGGCTCGTCGTCTGTGTCGCCGCGGGCGCTGTGCATTCGAGGCACAGGTTGGCCTGCCCAGCGGCCGCCGCTGCGGTTTTCTTGACCACATTCGCTGCCATGCATGTTGCACCATGTTCCGTACCCTGATGGGCCAGTTTTTCACCACCTACCACCATATGTAGGACGGGGCGAGAAGGAAGGATGAGGAGGTCCTCATCCTCCTCCTACTGAGCCTCCTGCTCCTCCTCCTCCTCCTCCTCCTCCTCCCTCCTCCTCCTCCTCCTCCTCCTCCTCCTCCTCCTCCCTCCTCCTCCTCCTCCTCCTCCTCCTCCTCCTCCTCCCCTCCTCCTCCCTCCTCCTCCTCCTCCCTCCTCCTCCTCCTCCTCCTCCTCCTCCTCCTCTCCTCCTCCCTCCCCCCCCCTCCCCCTCCCCCTCCCCCTCCTACATATGGTAGTGGTGATGGAGAATGGGCCCATCATTCCCGTTTCGGGCGTCCGACTTTGCGGGGGTCTGGCGACCGACTTTGAGCGGCTTCTCGATCGACGGCCGCGGTGGCGACGACGACGTCGGCGACGGTGACGGTCGGCGACGACGACGACGAGGAGGGTCGACGGCCCCGACGACGACGACGACGAGGCCGAGGAGGATCGACGGCGGCGACCGCAGCCGACGGCACGGCGGCGCGACGGCGACGCCGCGAGGATGGGGAAGATTCGGTTTGGGGATCCTGGTTCGATGGCCCCTCCGCTCAGGGCTCGTTTCGATTCCTTCGATTCGATTCGATTTTGTTTCGATGGCCTCCATTTCCGATTCGATTCGACCTCGGATTCCGATTTGGGCTCCGATTCGTCCTTGAAGGCATTCTATAGCTTCCGATTCCCGCCGTCTCGACTTCTCCCGGCTCGGCTGCCGACTGCCGCCTGCCCGATCCATTTCGATCGCCGATCCGACTCGCCGATTCGATTTTGGTGGTCTCCTCCCCGCTCGTCCGCGGCCGATGCCTCCGCCTCCGCCTGCTGGCAGGCCTGCGCCTCCAGCGCCCCTGCAGCGCGCAAGTGGCGCGCTGGCGGCAGCCGCGCGGCGCGCGAGCGGGCCGCGGCGCCCCTGGAGGCCCCGTCCGGCGTTGGCGACGTGGAGGGCGGCGCCCGCCGTCTCGAAGAAGGGAAAACACATAAACTCAAACTTTGGGCGCTCCCCGCGGATTTCTTGGATCCGCGCCTGGGCCCCCCCCGGCGGCGTCTCCGGCGCCGCCCCTGGCGCGCTCTGCGCGCCAGGGAGGGGGGTCTAGCGAGAATGCAAGAGATCCGCGCGGAGCGCCAAACGTTCATGTTTATGTGTTTTTTTTTCTTTTTCTATGGAGGCCCGTCCGGCGTTGGCGATGTGGAGGGCGGCGCTCGCCGTCGCCATCGGGCGTCGCCGTCGTTTCCGAGGTGGAGCTTACAGTCGAAGTTGATCAGTAGGTCGACCCTGCCACATCCAGGACACCCGCGTGTCCTGTCGTTCCTCGCGACCCATGCCTTCCCTGCGCTCCTACGGAAGCGTGGCCCATCGGAAGGGTCTTGTGTCCTTTCGCGCGTCCTCCCCAATCAACCTTGACATCCATGGTTTGTTTACGTCTGGACGCTTTCCTTGGATGCTCTCTGGGGCCCGGGGGGCCCCAGGACCGTCAAGCATGGGCCCGGGGACGGGGCCAGGACCTCGGTGGCCGCGCATTGACAACATTCAGATCGTCGGGAGCCGACGTCCTGGGGCCGCACGCGTGCGGCGGCAGTCAGTTCCCCCCCCCCTCCCCCTCCTCCTCCTCCTCCTCCTCCTCCTCCTCCTCCTCCTCCTCCTCCTCCTCCTCCTCCTCCTCCTCCTCCTCCTCCTCCTCCTCCTCCTCCTCCTCCTCCTCCTCCTCCTCCCCTCCTCCTCCTCCTCCTCCTTCCTCCTCCTCCTCCTCCTCCTCCTCCTCCTCCTCCTCCTCCTCCTCCTCCTCCTCCTCCTCCGGCCCTGAGAGTGCACTGAGTGGACGTCCGCATCCACCACCTTTGGGGCCCTTGCAGGGCCGCTCCCCAGGCGGTGTATGTGTATATAAGTTGATAAGCCCCCGCCTCGCATCGTCGGGCGGCGTCGTCCTCGGGCGGCGGCGCCGCCGCCGCCGCCGCCGTCGCCGTCGGGCGGCGGCGTCGTCTGCGCCGAGCAGCGTCGTCGACGGGCGTCGGCATCGTGGTATTATCGACACCGGGTGGTTTTGATCGGGAGACGTAGGGGCAGCAGCAGGAGGAGGAGGAGGTCCTCCTTCCCCTACCTGTCGTTTTCTTCCTACGCCTCCCTTCTGCTCTCTGCTCGTGGTTCCTCCTTTGTTCTCCCATCGCTCATGCATGATTCTGCCCTCCTCTCCCTGGGTTGAGAGTGCGAGTCGGACACATAACACGTCATACAAACATATACGTATTCGAGAGGCCTTGCGGCCGGTGCTGCCGACCCTGAACGACGACGACGACGATGCTGACGTGGGCCAGAGTCCTCAGGGATGCTTCTTAGGGTCTCTTCGGAGCGCTTTCGGGTGCCTCTGGGGGGTAATTTTGGGGCCTCTTGGGAGCCTCTTTGTTGCCTGTTGGGAGGCTCCTGTGGGCCTCTTGGGGCTTCCCAGGCGCATCTTGCGGGTTTCTTCGGAGCGTCTTGGGGTCTTTTTGGTGCTTCTTGGGAGCCTGTCAGGCTGAGGGCTCGAAATGTCCGTTTGGGTCCCCCGTCTGGGCACTCTCTTGGAGCGGTCTTGGAGGCCTCTGGGGCCGTCTTGGGGCCCTCTTGGGTCGTTTTGGGCCCCCTCTTTGGCTATCTTGGGGCGATCTTGGGGGCATCTTGGGCCGCCTTGGAGCGTCGGGAAGCCGAAAGGGCGAGAGTCCCAACATCAATCATAAACTATAGGAAAATCAATCATTGTTGCCTCTTGGGGCCCTCTTGGGCCGTCTGGAGGCTACTTTGGCGTCTTGACCGATACTTCGGCGATTCTTGGCCTTCTTGGACCGTCTTGCGAGCCTCTCGGGGCAGTCTTGGTTCGTCTTGTGGGGTTTTGGGCTTTGGGACCGCCCGGGGGGGGCGGGGAGCATTCTGATCTGGGACCCCTCCGGGACCCCCCCCGGGACCCTCTCCCCGGGACCGCCCCCCCCGGTGGGGAAGGGACCAAGGGAAGGGGCTTCTCTTCGAATGAATGACGGCGTTTGTCCTTGTCGTTTTGGCAAGCACGCTTGAAGAGAAACGCCCAAAGTAAGAAAGGCAACGGCTGGCGCGTTGGAGAAGGAGGCGCAGGATAAAGCTTGGAATAGCGACGGCGACGACGACGAGGAGACGACGAATGAAACAGAGACGAATAGAAGAGCTTCTTCCACACGCCGACTGGGTCGTCGGATTTGCTTGCCATCGTCGGATTTGCTTGCCATCGTGCACCCTGGATCTACGAGCTATGCGGTGCAACGTGTACTGTGCATGGTATGTGGTGCAAGCCATATGGAGTAATCCACCTTGAAGAACTATTAGCCGTCAGCATCAGTGCTTGCGCAAACTTCCCACCCTCTCAACCGCAGCTTGTTTGGCAAAGCCCATGCTGCCACGATTGCGGTTCCCGATTGGAGCTTGCCAGCGCATTTTTTATGGCCAGACTGGCGCGCGCACGTTTGCGCGCAGAGCCACAATCCGATCTGGCGCAACTGATGCGGCCAAAATGGCGCTTACTGATGCGAGCACCCAGCGCGTCTCATAGACTGGGTGGCGCGCGGGCACTTCCCGGCGGGCCAGTGACTCGGGCGGACGCGGTATCGTGATGATGCCGACATTGGCGGTAACGATGACGATCTTGGCGATGGTGGTGGTGATGACTATGACGATGACGATGATGCTGATGATGATGATGATGATGATGATGAGGATGAGGATGAGGATGAGGATGAGGATGAGGATGAGGATGAGGATGATGCTGATGATGACGATGACGATGATAATGATAATGGCGATGGTGATGGTGATGGTGATGGTGATGGTGATGATGATGATGATGATGATGATGATGATGCTGATGATGATGATGATGACGACGACGATGACGATGGCGGCAAGGCCAATGGCGCTTATGTTGGTGACGACGGCGACGACGACGATGATTGTCCTCCTCCTCCTCTTCCTCCTCCTCCTCCTCCTCCTCTTCCTCCTCCTCCCAAATAACCCATTCCCCTCCTTTCCTCCTCCTCCTCCTTCTCCTCCTTGTCCTCCTCCCCCTCCTCCTTCTCCTCCTCCTCCTTCTCCTCCTTCCCCTCCTACTCCTCCTCCTCCTCCTCCTCCTCCTCCTCCTCCTCCTCCTCCTCCTCCTCCTCCTCCTCCTCCTCCTCCTCCTCCTCCTCCTCCTCCTCCTCCTCCTCCTCCTCCTCCTCCTCCTCCTCCTCCTCCTTCTCCTCCTCCTCCCCCCCCTCCCCGCGCTCGTCGCGATCCGCTCTTTGCCGAGCGACCTCCGCACAGGCGCAGCTGGCGGGGATCGAGAGCGGGGCGTCCCTGGGCAGCAGTGCAGAGCCTCCCGCCGCCGGCTGGCAGCTCGTTGAGGCCATCGCCGCCAGGGTTCATCGTCACCGTCGTTTCTGGGGGGTGGGAGGGGGGATGCGCAGGAAGATGGAGAGGATGTCGAGGAGGAGGGGAGGGAGGAGACAGGAGGCGACAGGAGGAGTGAGGAACAGGAGAGGGGAGGCGGAGACGGAGGGCGAGGTTGGGGGAGAAGCAGGAGGGATTGGAGGAGCAGGAAGGACGAGCATCGAGGGGGGGGGGGGGCGAGGCAGAGGAGGAGAAGGAGGAGGAGAAGGAGGAGGAAATGCAGGAGGAGGGGCAGGAAGAGCAGGAGGAGGAGGAGGAGAAGGAGGAGGAAGAGCAGGAGGAGGGGCAGGAAGAGCAGGAGGAGGAGGAGGAGGAGGAGGAGGAGGAGGAGGAGGAGGATAAGGGCCAAGAGGAGGGAGAGGAGGAGGGGGTGCCCCCCCCCGCACGCGCTGCAGGGCGACGACGACGTGCCCTGCCGCAACTGGCGCGTGGAGGGGCCCCACCGCACCTGGGAGCAGATGGTCGCCGTGTGCAGCACGCGGCCTTTCACGGAACCCTCGGGGGTCGCCACATCCCCCGAGTTCGCGTTGATTGTCGGCGTCGTCGTCGGCTTCGGCGTCGGCATTGGCGTCGGCGGCGGCGGCGGCGGCGGAGTCGGCTTCGGCGTGGGCGTCGGTGTCAGCGAGCGTCGGTGTCGGCGTGGGCGTCGACGTCGGGATCGGCGTCGGCGTCGGCGTCGTCATTGTCGTCGATGTCGTTGGTGGAGGGGGAGGAAGGGGAGGAAGATGAGGGATGGGAAAGGATGACTGGGAAAGGAGCGATAGAGGTCGCAGGAGTGTTGCTGAGGAATGGGAGGGTAGAGGAGAAGGAGGAAGGGGGAGAGGACGGGACGAGGAGAAGGAGGAGGAGGAGGTGGAGGAGGAGGAGGAGGAGAAGGACGAGGAGGAGGAGGAGGCGGAAGGAGGACCTAGACGGGCAGGCTCGCGGTATCGAAGTGGAATCGAGGAGGCCGCGGGGAGTGTGGGGATTGAAGGAGCAGGAGGAGTCGGCTGGAACAGGACGGGCGCGAGCATGTGGTCACAGTCACGGTCCTCCTTCTCCCCTGCGTTCTCGTTATCGCTGTTCTTTTCCATCCTCCTCCACTCATCCCCTCCTCTTGCCGTCCTCCTCCTCTGCGTCCGCCTTGTCTGTTTCCTTCACCTCCTCCCCTGGACCCCGTCGTGCTCGTCCTCCTCAGCTTCTCCCCCCCCCGCCGTGTCGTCCGGCGCATCCTTCTTCACCATTATTCTTCCTCCCCATTGGCCCTGTCTTCCTTCCCTCATGCCAGTCTCGTCCTCCTTCCCATCCTCCTTCCCTCTTCTCCTTTTCCACTTCGCCCACCCTCCTCCTCCTTCTTCCCCTCCTCCCCCCCTCCGCGTCCTCATCCTCATCCTCATCCTCTCCCGCGATGGTCATGGTGCTCGTCTTCCCCGTGCTCGTCCTGGTTCACCGCCACTCCCTTGCACTCCTCGAGCTTCGTCTCTTCCAGGCTCGCCCTTCTCCTATTTTGAAGGCCTTACGGCCGGTGCCACCGATCCTGAAGGGGGACGACGACGACGACGACCACGACCACGACGACGACCACGACCACGACGGCGACGGCGACGACGACGACGCTCACGACGACGACGCCGACGTGGATCAGAGTCCCCAGGGATTCTGCTTGGGGTCTCGTCGGGGCGCTCACGGAGGCCTCTGGGGGGCAGTTGGGCGTTTCTTTTTTGCGGGGGGCCCAAAAGGCGCGGTGTGCCATCGCCGTTGGGTAAGTCAGGGGAGCTTTGTGACCGTACGGTTTTTGTTTGGGACTTCAGTCCTTCTCGGGCGACGCCTGGGGCCCACGAAGAAGGACAGAAGATCCCAACACCGTGCGGGGTGAGGTCTTTTGGGGATTTCGCGGCGTCGGCAATGCCTCGCCCTTCATCTACGAAGGAAACAACGCCATAAACATGAACGTTTAGCGCTCCGCGCGGACTTCTTGGATCCGCGCTGGGCCTCCGTGGCGGCGCCTCGGGCGCCGCCCCTGGCGCGCTCCGCAAGCCAGGGAGGGTGGTCCAGCGCAGATCCAAGAAATCTACGCGGAGCGTCCAAAGTCAATGTTTTTATCTACGCAGCGCCACCAACGGGCCAGAGCGGTCCCCCAGAGGGGTCAAGAGGATTTTCTGGAGCATGTTATCAGATGTTGGCAACATTACGGATACCAGGAGTGGGCGCGGTTCGGTCGAGTCTCGGTTGCGCCGCGGTCGGTTGCGTTTGGTCCGGTCGTGTGCGGCGTCGTCGTTGCTTCGCAGCTTCTTTCGCAGCCGCTTTCGTCAGATACGGTCTCGGCCAGTTCTGTCTTCGCTGCTGGTTCGGCCCGTGCTCGACAGCGCTACCGTGCGGCATCGGATGTTCTCAGCCGTTTCTGGTTCCTGGGCCCCCTCCTGGGCCCAGCGAGCGGCTCGGGACGAAGGGCAAGGTCCCAGGGACAGGCCAACAGGGTCAAGTCGGGCCTGTCCCTCTGCAGTCGGGTCAAGTCGGGCCCGTCCTTCTGGAGGAGGATGGAGGTGGAGGAGGAGTGGATGGAGGAGGAGGAGGAGGAGGTCTTCTAGGTGGAGGGGAGGAGTCTTTCTTCTGGGTCGTTTTTTTCTAGGTGGAGGGGTCTGGAGTTCTGGGGAACTTTGGCGGCCTTGCGGGCCGCTGCCTGGGCCCTGGGGCACTCGGGCAGTGCTGCAGAACAGCACGCTGCATCTCCGGAAGGCCCTGCCTGACGTTGTGCCCGGCGCGGGTTCGACGCGGACCCGGCGCGGGTGCGACGCGCAGTCGACGTCGATTCGACGCGCATTCGACGAGGTCGACACGATCAGCAGCGGGACGGGACATACAAGGTCCCCCGAAGATGCCACAGAAAAGATGCAGAGCCGGTTCGGGGGGAGCCTGGGGATGTCCAGGACCCGTTTCTTTCAGCATTCCGTTGGCTCATGGCACCAGGTGCCCGGTAGACAACCGGGAGGTTCGTTGTTGACGTCTTTTGAGTCTCCCCCCTGGCTGCCCCTCGGATGACGCCAGCGAGCTGCGTGCCCGATCGTTTGCTCCTCTCGCGCGCCGTCCGTCTAGGTTTTAGGAGGGTCCCCATCGGGCTTCTGGCTTAGATGTCAGGGCTCTTCTTGTACAGTCACTTGGCGCTCTGCTTCAGCAGCGGTTCGCATGGTCAGTATGACGATTCCTGCACAGTTGTACAGTTTGATAGTTGGTCCAACGGAGCGCAGAAAGCACTGCAGCGATGTCGACCAGCTGGGTATACATGGTTCACGTGTCCCCGCAAGCCCATGCAGCGACGAGAGCCACGTTCTTTTTCGTAGTTTGGTGTGGTCTGGTCCCGTCCGCTCGCACGTGGTATCATTCAGTGTGGTCGGGCCTTGCGACATGAAGTGAAGGTTCAATTCTAGACGCTTCTCATAACCCATCCAGAGGCCCGCTCGGACCTTACACGACGTTGGCGCGCTCGCCTACGGCTGCCAACACAAAAAGTAACCCATCTAGAAACCATGCCCAGACGAGTTGCCCTGATCAGGGGTGTGAATGAGAGCGAAGTATAATAAAAGGCTGGGTGAGACGTCGTACCTCAAGAGGGGGAGGATCGATGAGGAACATGAGGAGGAACAGGGAGAGCGGGAGGTAGAGGAGGGAGGAGAAAGGACGAGGACCAGGCGGATGAGGAAGAGGAGGAGGAGGAGGACGACGACGACCAGGAGGAGGAGGAGGAAGGCGATCAGAAAGGCCAGATCGGATTTCTTTCCAGAGCTGCTTTGGGGTCCTCATGGAGCGTCTTTGGGGTCTCTTGGGAGTCCCTGGGGCCTCTTGCGGTGTCTTGGGTGCCTCGGGGGGGCCTCGGGGAGCTTTGTGAGGGTCTCTTGAGAGCCTCTTGGGGGCCTCTCGGGGGCATCGTTGGGGCCACTTGGGGCCTCCTTGGCACCTCTTGGGGCCGTCTTGGGGCACCCTTTCGAGCCTCTGGGGTCATCTTGGAAGGTATCGATCAAAAGGAGGGGGGCTCCTCACTTAGGGTCCCCCCCTAGGAGGCCAAAATGTCGTCACAACAGATGTAAGCAATAATGACTTCGGCCTTCTCGCCGGGGCTTCCTGTGGGTCTCTGGGGAGCCTCCTGAGGGCATCTTGGAAGAATCCTTAGTCAAGTTAATGATTGTGGCCTTCTCGCCGAGGCCTCTTGGGGCGTCTTTGGTGCTCCTTGGGGGCCTCTTGGTGGTCTCTTCGGAGCCTCTTGGGGACGTCTTGGGGCCGTCTTGGGGTATCAGGGTTGGGTTTCTTGTGGGAGGCCTCTTGTGGACCGGCCTCCACTCCAAACCACGCCGGAAATGGCCGGTGTTTTTTTTCCGCGGCCGGCTCGGCGTGTGCAGTCGGCAAGCAGACCTGCCACGGGCTGCGCCCTGGCCAGCACTTCGAGTCAAGCGGTGGCGAAGCGTCCTGGCGTGCCTGTAGGCCCACCAAACAATGTTCCAATAACCATTTGTGGTCTGCACGAAAGGTTCTTAGAACATTTCTGGCTGAGACTGTCTTGTTTTGGCGTATCGGGCTTATGTTCTAAGAAGACTGTTGTTCTTCTAGGTTCTAGGAACATGTCGTGGTAGGCTTATAGGAATGCCGGGGCCAGTCGATGCGCATCCAGCCGTGACTTTTCATTAGTCAGAGGAGGGAAACCCAGATCCAACGTATTGGAACAAAAATCACGACAGAGGTTTTGCCAAGTGTTCCGCCTCTAGGGGCCCTGACGGGGCCTCGGGATGGTCCAAAGACGACTCAGGATGAGGTGACGGTCCTGGAGAATGGGTCGAGACTTCCAGGGACCCCGTGAGGAAAAAAACGCGACATCGGATCTCAGGGAAGGTACCCATACCGCTGCCCTTCCCTCGCTTTCCCCCTTTTCGGGCCTCCCCGAAGAGGCCCTCGTCGCCAGCGCTGGATTCGCCTCGAGCTCTTGGTCAGAACGCACCCCGGGAGAGGTCCGGGGGAGCAGCGCTGTGGGCACCTGTTGGTTCCCCCCTCCAGGGCCCCCCACAAGGGGCACGCGCTTCCAGGCAGAGGGCGGCCACGGCCGGGACCTCCTGGGCGGGGCAGGACCCCGAGTTCCCGCCTGGCCCCCGCTCCGTCGACGGGCGCCCGGACGACACCGGCGTGGGCAGCACGGACTTCTTCCGGGCCACCGTGAGCGAGGTCAGCCGGACTTCGCCGTCTCCCGCGGAGGCTCTTCGGGGGGAGGCCCGCTTGCAGCGCCCGGCACCGACCCGACTGTATGGCCCAGACCCTTCAAGCAGTGGTGGAGCGTCTTGGCGCGCCGGTAGGACTACCAGACAATGTTCTGAGAGCTGTTTGTGGTTTGCACGAGATGTTCTTACAACATTTCTGGCTGGGACTGTCTTGTTTTGACCCATCGGGCTCATGTTCTAAGAAGGTTGTTTTGTTATTAGAACATTTGTGTGTTCTTTATAGCATGTCGTGGTAGGCCAATCGAAATGTCGGGACGGTCGGTCCCTGCTCAAGAGCACCAGCACCGACCCGGGTTAGCCCAGGTCCTGTGAATTGTGGCGCCGCGCAGAGGGATAGGGCGTAGGGGGAGGGGGGAAGGCTTCTTGGAAGCACCCCTCCTTCTTAGAAGGCGCGGGCCGTGTCTGTAGATGGAAGGCCTGCGCCTTCTAAGAAGCAGGGGTGCTTCCAAGAAGCCTTCCCCCCTCCCCCTACCCCATTGTTCGCGCCGCCAAAGCTAGCCCAGACCCTGTGAGCTGTGAGGGTCGAACTTCGAGGATCGAGGTTTTCGGAAGTCCTCCCGCCCTTTCTGGGCTTATCTGGGCGGCTCGTTGCTGCGGACGGCTGCATTGTTCGCTTCAGAGTTCCCGAATCAACGCTTGCACTGAAGGGGCTCTAGCAGATACTGCAAGATTTGGCGAGAGTCCTGGGCCGATTTCGGTTGCTCGGCTGGGTTCGGGGCTCTGGGCTCCCGGCTCCCGGCTTCCCGGTTGCTGGTTCCCTATACGGCGAAATTTCGGCCAGACACGGTGCTTGCATTATTTTTTCGGAAGTGGACAGAATTCCCACCTTGACACGTCGATTAGTGAATTGTCCGTTTTCGGTTCTCGAGAGGGCACCGCGGCCGTTTTTTTTCCAGGCTTGCGCCCGCCATGTTTGGGCCCGAGGTCATTGCACCACGTTTTACTAAAGGGGGTTCTGTCCATCCCCGATGTTTCAAAGCATCCACTGGTGGGGGAATCGTCTCTGGTGCAATTCTAGTCAAAACGCACCCCAGGATTTGATCCTGGGGCCGACGTCTGCCCGCCAGCAGACCCCTTCGCGCCCCGAGTAGAAGTCAGAGCGGACGGTCTTCGATGGCTTCGGCCCCTGCGGCCCGAGCACCGCACCCAGACCGTCAGGAAAAAGATTGCGAGACGTCGGTCCTGGGAAAGGGTCGAGACCTGCAGGGGTTGCGAGCAAAACCGCGACGTCGGGGGCCTGCATGGGCATCATGTCCCCAGGATTGGCGTACGGTGTGTGTGTGTGTGCGTGTGTATATCTGTATTTCTGTGTGTGTGCGCGCGTGTATGTGCGACTTTCTACGCCCTGTCGCCACGCGCGGGGCCGCGACGCCTCCAGAGTAAGAGTGTGTGTGTGTGTGTTTTGGTTTGTGCGTGTGTTTGTGTATATGTTTGTGTTTGTGTGTGTGTGTGTTGTGCCGCGTTGGCGCAGCGGCGACGTTGGCGCAGCGGCGACCACAAGCGCGGGGCTCGGAATCGGCCGACGTCGGACTTTGGCTCAGGGTGACCCAGTGTTCCCGCCTTCCCTCCAGGGAGGCCCAGGAGGCCTCCATTTAGCAAAACAGAGTACCACTCGCGAGGCCGAGAGGGCCTCAGGGCGCTCCAACACGGCGCGACCAGAGTGGGGCTGGCCGGGCTCGGTGCCGGTGCGCAGCTGGCATCTCCTGCAGGCTGGCGAGGAGGCGCCGCTGTGCCTCTGCGGGCAGCCGGCGCGCCAGAGGCACGTCACGAGGCGCGGCCCGACGTTCGGCCGCCCCTTCTTCTCCTGCCCGACGCGCACGTGCAGGCTCCTCGGCACGCGGCCTGGGCTGCGCATGTGCAGCCCCTTCGGAAGTGGTCCCTTGGCATCGCTCGCACGTGTGCATTTTTTCTTCGGCGAAGACCATCGAGGAGCATCCTTGATCATTTGGCGAAAAAAACACGCACGAAACCGAAAAAAAACACAGGGAATGGACGTCCGAGCGATGGCCAGGCCCAGGCTGACCTCAACAGCCCGCCGGGGGCACGGCGGGCGCGCGCCGCGTCGACCAGGCGGCGACGTTGGCGCGGGCGGGCTCAGCTGAACGCGGCCGGTGTGGCCCGAAGCCGGCCGGCATCGGCAGATCTGCCCGCGCCGGAGCGGTCCACGCGGTGTCAGGAGCCAACACCCGAGCCGCCACGGCACCCGCCTGCCGTGTATACAGTTGGTCTTCGGGTCTCCACCCTCCCGAAGCCTGGAGGCGCGGAGCGCCCGCGGTCGGCGCGAGCGGAATGGGTACGGAGAGAATGGGCACGATGCACAGCAGCAGTTCCTGTTCATCAAGCAGTGGCGAAGCGTCCCGGCTCGCCAATAGCCCCACCAAACAATGTTCTAAGAACTTTTTGTGGTTCCACGAAATGTTCTTAGAACATTTCTGGCTGGGACTGTCTTGTTTTCACACAGTAGGTTTATGTTCTAAGAACATTGTTTTTGCTATTAGAAAATGTTTGGGTTCTAAAAACATTTCGTGGTATGACTATAGGAATGCCGGGGCGGTCGGTCCCTGCTCAAACGAATGGACACAATGCCCAACAGCAGTTCTTGTTCATTTTGGACAGGGCTCGCCGTCCGCGCCGCCGCGGCCTGTGTCCATTTGAGACAGAGGGCCGCCTGCCCAACAGCGGCCGCTGTTGGTCCAGGACAGCACTTGTTGTTGGGCATTGTGCCCATGTTTGTCCGTACCCATTCCGGGCGTCCAAACGGGAGGCGCGGAGCGCCCATGGGAGCGCCGCGCCCGAGGCGGCACGGGAGCGTGGAGTCCGCACGGGCAGGCGGTCTCGAGGCCGTCGGGGCTGCTTTTTTGGGGTGCTGCCCGTGCGCAGCAGCCGCGGCCCTGCCAATTTGGCAGGTTCTTCGAGTTCGCCGACCGCGGCTCGACCCTGGCAGCGCTCGAGCTGGCGTGGAGGCGCTTCTCGTCGGACGGCTGACGGGCCCGTCTTCTACCACCACCACCACCAGAAGTTGAAGGGGGGAGGAGGAGGAGGACGAGGAGGAGGAGAAGGAGGAGGAGGAGGAGGAGGAGGAGAAGGAGCAGGAGGAGGAGGAGGAGGGGGAGGAGAAGGAGGACCCCCTTCCCCTCCAACTTAGAGTGGTGGTGGTGGAAAACAGTCCCATCAACGGCGGCCCCGAGCGAAGCTGGGTCGTCGTGGGCGACGAGGGCTTCCGGCCGGAGGACCTGCAGCAGGGGGGCGTGGGCGATTGCTGGTTCATGAGCGCCCTGGCTGTCGTGGCGGAGCGGCACGACCTGATCACCAAGCTCGTGCCCAACCTGAACGCCGGGATGTCCACCGGCTGCCACGAGATCAGGCTCTTCCTCGACGGCCGCTGGACTGCCCTCCTCGTGGACGACCACCTGCCCACCACCGCGAAGCAGCGGCGGCCGACCGCGGATGGCAGCGGGCTGGCGTTTGGCCGCTGCGCTCGCAGGCAGCTGTGGGTGTCGCTCGTGGAGAAGGCGTACGCCAAGGCGCACGGCGCCTACAGCATGATCAGCGGCGGAGAGACTGCCGAGGCCCTCCTGGACCTCACGGGCGCCCCGACGGAGGTCGTGCACTTCTGGGAGCCAGGCTTCGACCCCGACCTCTTCTGGGCCAGGCTTCGGGGGGCCACATGCGAACCCTGCCCCTACCCCCCACGATTTCTGAGGGGGAGGGTGGGGTTCACTTCGTTCGGGAGTTCCCGAGCGAAGTGAACCCCACCCTCCCCTCAAAAATCGTGGGGGGCATAGGGTAGGGTTCGCATGCGGCCCCCTAAGGCTGCTGACGCTGCTGGAGGCGGGCTGCCTGGTGGGCTGCGGCACCAGCTCGGAGACGCTGGAGGAGCTGGGGCTCGTGGGCCAGCACGCGTACTCCGTGCTCGAGGCGCGCGACGGGTCCCCCGCGGGCGGCGCGGACGGGCGAGCGGTGCGCGTGAGGAACCCGTGGGGCGAGTGGACCCGCAGGGAGCAGGATTCGAGGCGGGGGCCGGTCCATCACCACGGCTGGGGGCATCGATCTTCGGAGGTGTGGCCGGCGGTGGATATAGGATCCGAGGTCGAGGGTTCACGGCCCCCCCCCCAGATGGGATGGGCCCCAGGGTTCCAGGGCTCCTTCTCCCCAGAGGGGTTGGGGGGCGACGTCGTCGTCGACGAAGACGCTGCCGCCGCCGCCGCCACCGACGATGACGACGACGCCGACGCCAACAACGACTCCGACGGAAGAAGCCGATGCCGACAGAAGATGATGACGACGACGACGATGAGGATGAGGAGGAGGAGGAGGAGGAGACGGAGGAGGAGGATGCGGAGGATGATGGTGGTTATGGTTGTGATGAGGCTGATGATGCTGATGATGATGATGATGATGCTGATGATGATAATGTTGCTGCTGCTGATGATGATGGTGATGATGATTATCCTGATTATGCTGATTACGGTGTTGTTGAGCATGATGATGAATATGATGATGACGAGGCTGATGATGATGTTGATGATGCTGATGCGTATGCTGATGATGGTAATGATGACGGTGATACATATCATGGTGATGGTGGTAATGATGATGCTGTTGCTGGTAATGATGCTGCTGATGACGATGCTGATGATGCTGGTGATGATGCTGATGACGATGCTGGTGATAATGATGATGATAATGATGCTGATGCTGCTGATGATGATGGCGACGATGTCGATCACGACGCCGATGATAATAGTGACGATGATGAGTCGAATGATGATGCTTATACTGATGCTGTTGCTGATGCTGATGCTTATGCTGGTGATGATGATTGTGATGAAGATGATGGTGATGGTGATGATGTTGGTGATAATGCTAATGATGATGCTGATGCTGATGCTGATGATGATGCTTTGCTGCTGATGGTGGTGATGTTGATGCTGCGTTGTTGCTGCTACTGCTGCTGCTGCTGATGATGATGATGGTGGAGGTGGTGATGGTGTCGGTGATGATGATTATGCTGAGGTGAAGGATGTGGATGAGGATGAGCCTCAGGATCAGGATCAGGAGGAAGATTATGATGATGATGATAATGATAATAATAATGATGATGAAACTGACGACGACGACGACGACCACGGCCTTGACCTCGACCTCGACCACGACCACGGTCATGACCACGACCACGGCCACGGCCACGACCACGGCCACGACCACGGCCACGGCCACGACCACGACCACGACCACGACCACAGCCACGACGACGACGAAGACGAGGACCCACCCCACAATCACAAGGGGGAAGGGGCGGGGGACAGCGGCACCCTCCACCACGACGCGCCCCATCGGGCGCGCCCACGGGCGCACCCGGACCTCGGTGGGGCCACACGTGTAGCTATCCTCAGCATTGTCATCATCATCATCATCATCATCATCATCATCATCGTCGTCGTCGTCGTCGTCGTCGTCGTCGTCGTCGTCGTCGTCTTCATCATCGTCATCGGCATCGGCATCGTCGTCATCATCATCGTCGTCATCATCATCATCATCATCGGAGCGGTCGGCGCGAGGTACAAGATCGAGGCCAGTTCGGGGAGAGCAACCTCAAGTCGGGCCTGTCTCTGCACAGGAAGGATATCCAATAACCGAAAATAGTCGAGGGACGATTTGTTGATTATGGTTTTACTATTTTGGGATATGTTTCGAAAGTTGTTCGTCCAAAATCCGCCTGTAGGGGGACATGCCCGGCTCGGGGAGGGTCACCTAGTGTTCCTCGTGTTCGTCGTCGTATGTTCTCTCTCCAATCAGTGCTTGCACTGAAGGCTCCTGGCGGAAAGTGAAAGATTTGGCGAACGTTTCCCGCCGATTTTGGTAGCCCGCTGGGTTCCCGGGTTCCTGGTTCTGGGTTCCTGGGTTTCTGATCACTGTTTCCAGGCCGATTTCGGTGGGTTCCCAGGTTCCCGGTCGATGTCCTTATCGAGATCGGCTCGGGGAGGGTAACCTAGTGTTCCTTCGATGTCTGTTCATGGGTGCCATGGGCGGCGACCTTGAAAACAACTTTTCCTGCATCTGGACCGCGTAGGGGGCCACAGTTGGCCCCTCCTGTTCCTCCTCTCCCTACCTAGTTCCCCTCCCCCTCCTCGTTATCCTGGTCCCCGCTACTCCAGTCCAAATTTGCTCCAAATCCAGTCCAAATCAGGCCCGAATTGGACAGCGCCGGGGGGTCACGCAGGCTCCCGTGGACCGGACACCCAATGCTCCTCGTGTTCGTTGTATGTTCTTTTGCAGGGGGAGCTCTCGGTGATCGTGTGGTTTGGGGTGTTCTGGCAGCAGGGAGGTCTCATGTTCTTGACTTGGCATCGCTCGGACGTGTGCATTTCTCCTTCGGCGAGGACCATCGAGGAGCATCCTTCATCATTTGGCGAAAACGCTACGCACGAAATCAACAAAAAGCACAGGGAATGGACGTCCGAGCGATGGCCGGGCCCAGGTCCGACCGTATCCGCCGCCCGCCGAGGTCCCCTGGAGGTCGAGCCCCCGGGCGGGGGTGAGGGGCGGGCCCCCGCCCCGCACAGGACGAGCTGCTCGCGCAGCTCGGGGCTCCAGTGAGCCCGGGCGACGGCTGCTTCTGGATGCGGTATTCAGCCACGCGCAGAGGGGGGTCCAGCGCCGATCCGAGAAATCCTCGCGGAGCTTCGAGTTTTTATGGTCATGGTATTTTTCGTCCCCCCACGGGGGGAGGAGGGGAAGGTGGGTTGGACCAGGTGCCGTGGATGGTCGGGAAGACGCCAAGAGGGGGCGGGGGGGGGGGGGGCGACGTGGAGCGGGGGGGGGGCAGGTGGGGTGGAGCTGGAGCAGCAGGGGCGGAAGGAGGAGCACGTGCACAGAGCGGGCGGCGGGGGGGAGGGGGGAGGGCTTCTTAGAAGCACCCCTGCTTCTTAGAAGGCGCGGGCCGTATCTATATAGATCTGTAAGGCCAGCGCCTTCTGAGAAGCAGCCTCCTCCTAAGAAGCCCTCCCCCCTCCCCCTGCCCCCTTGTTCGCGCCGCCAAGGTATGCGGACTTCCTGCGCGGCTTCGCCTGCGCCGACATCTGCCACGCGCGCGAGGGCTGGCACGCCCGCAGCTTCGACGCCGAGTTCACCGGCGCGGGCGCGGGCTCCGCCGCCGGGTCGCGGGACTCGCTGCGGGTGCGGGCGGAGCACGGCACGGACTGCTGGTTCGTCGCCATCCAGCCGACGGAGCGCGGCAAGCAGCTGCGCCGGCCGCGCGGGTACCACCTCAACGACCTGAGCCTGGTGCTGCTGGACGCCGAGACGGGCGAGAGCCGGGGCCTCGTGCTGGGGGGCGCCCGCCGCGACGTGAGCGTGCCCGTCTTCCTGGAGGCGGGGCGCGAGTACGTGCTCGTGCCGCTGAGCTTCCGGGCCAGGCGGGGACCCTTCCCGAAGAAGGAAAAACGCCATGAACGTAAGTTGTTGTCGGTATCGTTTAACCAATCCCCATATCCATCCCCTTCGAAACCCCCACCAAACTACCACCCCAGTTGGGGTAACCCCCCTGGAAACCCGAAGGGAACGACCTATATCCCCATCTAGGGGGGTAAATCGGCCAGTGGGGCCCAGGCCACGCCGCTGGGGATGGGGAGCGGTTGAACGATACTCATTTTGTCGGGGGCGCTAAAACATGGATAAGCGATCCATGGATTTGGCGCGCGGTTGCCAAATCCACGGATCGGGGGAGGTGCCTTCCCCCAAAAAACCGGCCGGCGCCGCCTCGCTCGGCGGCGAGAGTCCGCGCTTTCCATGGAAACGGGACCCGTCGCTAGTCCACGCCCCCTTGATCCATGTGTTGCGATCGCCTGATCTTGGCGCCCCGCGCGGATGTCTTGGCTCCGCACTAGGCCCCCCCGGCAGCGCCTCCTGCGCCGCCCCTGGCGCGCTCCGCGCGCCAGGGAGGGGGATCCAGCGCAGAACCACGAAGTCCGCGCGGAGCGCCAAAAGTGACGAACGAACAACACACACCCATACCCATAGGGAGGTCGGAGGGAGGAGGACTGGCTATGGGTATGGGTGCTGGGGAGGCTCCCGTTCGAGCGGGACCCCCATCCGACAACACGCACCCATGGCTCATTCCGTCCCCCCTATGGGTATGGGTACGTATTGATCGTTCGTCAAACATGCTATGCTTATGGCGTCTTCTCTTCTTCCACCTTTGTGCTCCGAGTCTACGCCGCGGGCCCCGTCCGCGTGCTGCCCGAGCCCCTGCCGAGCGCGGCGCCGGTGTGGGCCGCCCTGCGGAGTCTGGCGATGCAGCCGGCGCTGCCGCCGCGCACGCAGCGGCTGGTGTACCGGCTGGGCCATGGCGTCGGCAGATTATTCGAGAGGTCTGCGCCAGTCCGCCGATTGGAGGGTTTCGCCGAAGGGCTTAGGCGACCCGTCCTCCTCCTCCTCCTCCTCCTGCTCCTCCTTCTCCTCCTCCTCCTCATCCACATCCTCCCCCTCCTCCTCCTCCTCCTCCTCCTCCTCCTCCTCCTCCTCATCCACATCCTCCCCCTCCTCCTCCTCCTCCTCCTCCTCCTCCTCCTCCTCCTCCTCCTCCTCGGGTCGCCTACGGCCCCGGGGGAAACCGTGCACCGCCGACCCCCAGGAGAGGAGATGTGCGGCTGGTAATTTCGCACGTGTGGGTGAACCCTTTGGTGGGGAGGTGGAGCGGGGGACGGGGGGGGGGCAGCCAAGTGTCTCGCGCGCGTCGGTACCCCCGGCAAGCGGGGCTCGGTGGACTCGTTCTGGAGGGTCCGGCAATGGCCATCGGCATCGCCATCAACGAGCACCCCGACGCGGCGATGCTCGTCTCGTTGGCCGGCGCCGCCAACCACGCTGTGGTTTGCGGGCCGATGGGTCAGGAGGAGGGCGTCGAGTGCAGCGAGCGCAACAGGAAGTCTGGCGACCAGCCGAGCCGCGGCCAACTGCGGAGGACAGAACACACAACCGTTCCAGAACGCTCTCACTGCGGTCTGGAGTGCTCAACGGCCGCGGCGCCCCGTACATCCTCAGAGCTCTCAGATCTCAGAGATCTCCGATGCAGCCCGGTCCGATTTTGGTGTGGTCCTGGCTCCGTCTGATAGAGCACAACATGCTTTGGGAGGTCCGTGCGGATTTCGTTGGTGCAAGTTGGAGCCCCCTCCCCATGCCCGTCGTCCGGCGCGCATAGCGCGCAGGGGTCGGCGTCGGGAGCGCCGCCCAGTGCGGAGACGGGGGTGCAGCGACGACGTCCCGTGCGGACTTCGGAAGGTCTTTATTGATGAGATTTTTTTTGCCTCAACACCAGCATCTTTGTCCAGGGCCAGGCTATCCTTGGCCCGGGTATGGTACATAGACTGCTGGTAGGCAATGGCTACGTATACCACCCTACCATCCCAAGGCCAGGGGCCGTGGTGCTGTCTAGGTAGCTGTCTCCCCCGACATCTCGCTTCGACAGCGTACGGACAGCACGCATAAGAACCCAAGCAAGAACTGTGGAAAGCCCGCGGTCATTTTATCGGGTCGGCGCTGCATCCAGTGCAGAGGGCGGGAGGGGGAGGGGGAGGAGGAAGGAGTGGATGTGTGTGTGTGCAGGTTTCGTCGCCGCCACTCCTGGCGCAAGAGATGTCTGTGGCGTCGCGCGGGACCGGGGCGCGGCGCGCGAAGGGAGGTATGGCCCATAATTTGCTGCTGGGAAGCCCTCCTCGAGGCCTCCGAGGAGGGGCCAGGCCGTTTTCTCTGAGCGATGGCCCTGCCTTCTCCGCGGGGCCCCAGCTCAGGTCTCCGGTGGCCGGTATCTTACCTCATACAACCCTGGGTTAGGCGAGTCTTTCCACAGCCCGTGCCGCCGCCTCTAATCTCATCGCGCCAACATCGCAGAGCGGCTGTCGTTCGGAAAACGATGGGATGGGCCCGGAGTGTCCTGGGGAATTTCGTTTTGGATTTCGAGGTGAATGTCGCGCGGATTCGTTTCGCCAGGAATGAAGACTAAAACAAAGCCCACGCGAAATTGACTTCGTTTTTCACCCGCTGTTTCGGGGTTTTGCATTGGCAGAAATCCACGCAAAATCCGCTGCAGCACGTCTGCAAGGTCGGCAGTGACTAATCAGGATGGGAAAAAAGCGCACAGACACAATGAATCGTCGATCCCCAGGGACAATACAGGCACATATGGGTCAGTGGGGGAAGAGGAAACTCCAGAACATATAGGAAAACAAAGGTAGTCCTGGGATTTGTGTCTATTTCTTTGTGTGTCCCTGGGCGCCTTAATCTGAGGCAAGTGCCTCCACCGTAAGAGGACGAGCTGGATCGCTGCCCTCTCAGGACAGGCCGCTGCCCTCGTCCGAGCCTCCAGCCCCCTTTGTGAGCAAGCGGCTCGTGGGCGAAACGCGTGTCAGATCCGCGCCCGCAGCCTCGCCGCGTGGAACGTGCCCGTGCGACCGCGCACCCGCTGGCCCGCGGCCCCAGAATCCAGACCGCGAGGGCGTGGGCAGGGACGCGCTCGCCGCCCGCGAGGACGCGACCGCGAGGGCGCGAGTGGCAGCGGCGCCAAGGGCACAGCACGACCACAGCCGTCGGCCCCAGCGCCAAGTCTCGACCCGGATCGGGCCGCGGAGGCCCCCGAGGCCCAAAGCTTACGGGGCCCAATCGATGTGTATATATATATATATATATATATATATATATATATATATATATATATATATATATAAGCCGGCGGCAGGGGATCGCGGGGCCGCCAGGCCGGGACCTGCGCCCCCAGGGCCCCATGGCCGCTCCGGGGCTCGGGAGCGCTCCTGTCCGGGCCAAGAGGCGGCCAAGACGTGCCCAGGGAGACGCAAGTGGCCCCCAAACCGGTCCTAGACGGCCCCGGGGCCCTCAAAGATCGCCCCTGGACGCTCAAGACGGCTCCCATTGAGCCAAAGAAGCCGCTACAACGCCCCAAGTTGCTTTCAAAGAGAGCCCCAAGCGGCCACAATCATTGATTTTGCATGGGGAACCGTGCATTTTTAGGATCTACGTGTTTTCCTGTTTCCACGGCGTGCACGAGGGTACAAGAGGCCCCCACGACGGCCCCAAGACGGCCCAAGAGGCTCCCAACACGGCCCAAGAGGAGCCCAAGGCAGCCCCAGCACGGAACCCCAAGAGGCTCCCAAATCGGTCCAAGACGGCCCCAGGGCTCTCAAACATCGCCCCTGGACGCCCAAGATGGCTCCCATAGAGCCCCAGAGGCCGCTACGACGCCCCAAGAAACTTCCCAAGGGAGCCCCAAGCGGCCAAAATCATTGATTGTGCGTAGGAACGCGTACATTTTTAGCATCTACGACTTTTCGGTCTTCACGGCGCGCACGACGGTACAAGGGGCCCAAAGACGGCCCCAAGAGGCGACCAACACGGCCCAAGACAGCCCGAGGGCGGCCAAGGCGTGGCCAAGGTGCCCCATGAGGCTCCCAAAACGTTGCATGGCGGCCCTGGAGCGCTCAAAGCTAACCCTCGGGCGCCCAAGACGTTTCTCACAGTGCCCAAGAGACCGCGAAGCCGCCCCAAGAGGCCCCCAAGAGGCTTTCCAAGAGGGTCCCAAGAGGCCAGAATCATTGACTCTGCATTAAGAACGTATATTCTTAGCATCTACGACTTGTGGGTCTTCACAGCGGTGTCGAAATTACAAGAGGTCCCCAAGAGAGCCCCAAAACGGCCCGAGAGGCTCCAAAGACGTCCCGAGAGGGGGCCAAGACACCCCAAGAGGTCCCCTAATACGACCTAGGGGAACTCCACGACGGCTCCAAGAGGAGCCCAAGAGGGGGAGCCCGAACCGAAAATCCGACCCTTCCGCCCAAGGAAGTCCCAGGAGGCCCCTGGAGGCTCCAAGAGGCCCCCAAGAGATCCGCCCTATAGGCCAAGCGGCCTAACCCAGCGGGGGTTATGGAGGGGAAGATTCTGATACGCCAAGAGACCCACAAGGGGTCGGCGCGCTCAGGCCAGTTCGGTGCAAGTGTGAGCGGCATGAGTCGTTGCATATTGCGGTGAACGTCGGTGCCGGAAGCACGTCCAACATCCGGGATCCTCCTCCTCCCTCTTTCCGTCCCTTCCCTCCTCTTCCTCCCCCACTCCCCCTCCCTCCTCCACTTCCCCTTTCTCTCTCCCCTTCCTCCCTTCCTCCCCTCCCGTTCCACCTCCCTCCCTCTTTCCCTCCCCTCCCTCCCTCCCCAGCCATCCCGCCCCTCCCTCCCTTCCCATTCCGTTCCCTTTCCCCCCTCCTCCCATCCGCGAACCCCGCTGCCCTGTGCCGAAGTTGCACCGCGTAGACTGCACCACGCGGATTGTCAACTATATTGCACTACGGAGTTTGCACCGTAAAGCGCGCGCCGCATAGGTCCACATTAAGTGCATACATACATGCAGACATACATACATACACACGTACATACAAACACACATACATACATACATGCGCGCACACATGCCATATGTAAGTGAACAAAGGTTGTTGCGCATGTATAAAAAGATAACTACATAAATATATACAAATATATACACATGTACAGGGGCCTAGCCCGGGGGGCCCCAGTTCGAGCCGGCGGCGAAGACGCAAGTCGAAAGCGCTATTCCCCCAAGGAGCTGCGGTGGCGCTTCTGTTCCGCTGACGTTCGGTGAAGCTCGTGACGCCCCTATTCGGCCTGAAGCCTCTATTCTGGAGCCTCTATTCGGCCTGAAGCCTTTCATTTGGCCCGTGACGCCTTTCTTCGCCCTGCGACTTGCGACGCACTGGTGGGGTAACGACCCCAGACGCGCCTATTCGGCCTGGGCCCTTTATTCCCCTGACGCCCACTGACGCTCGCGAAGCCTCTATTCGGTCGGAAGCAAATATTTCCCTGGCGCCCGGTGAAGCTCGTGAAGCCTTCATTCGGCCTGAAGCTTCTATTCCCCTGACGCCCGGTGAAGCTCGTGAAGCCTCTTTTCGGCTTGAAGCCTCTTATTCCCTTGGCGCCCAGTGAAGCTCGTGACGCCTTTATTCGGCCTGAAGCTTCTATTCTCTTGACGCCCGTTGAAGCTCGTGAGGCCGTTAGTGTGTCTGAAGCCTCTATTCCCCCGACGCCCGGTGAAGCTCGTGAAGCCTCTATTCGGCCTGAAGCCACCACTATTCCCCCGACGCCCGGTGAAACTCTATTCGGTTTGAAGCCTCTAATCCCCTGACGCCCGTTGAAGCTCGTGAAGCCTCTATTCGGCCTGAACCTATATTCCCCTGACGCCTGGTGATGATCGTGAAGCTCTTATTTCGCCTGAAGCTTCTATTCCCCCGACGCCCGGTGAAGCTCGTGACGCCTCTATTCGGCCTGAAGCTTCTTTTCCCTTGACGCCCGCTGACGCTCGTGAAGCCTTTATTCGGCCTGAAGCTCCCATTCCCCCCGGCGCCCGGTGAAGCTCGTGACGTTTCTATTTGGCCTGAGGCCTCGATTCCCCCGACGCCCGGTGAAGCTCGTGAAGCTTCTATTCGGCCCGAAACCGATTCTCCTGACGCCCGGTGAAGCTCGTGACGTTTCTCAGGTTTCGTGCCCCAGAGGAGGGCAACCCTATAAGATGCGACGTAAAACCCCCAAAATCCGTGCCCCTGGAAATGGGTCGTGCCCCGGGAGAGGGCCAATCACGCTAAGGATTCGCCCCCCCATGATACGACCACTCTATCAACACGCGTGTGAAGCACGAAGGATTCGCGCCCTAGGAAAAAGGTCCGTCTATAGGCACATGCGTAAAACACTGAAAGTGTTCGTGTTCCAAGAGAAGGCCGATCTATCGGCACATACGTTAAGCATAAAAAGGATTCGTGCCCCAGGGGAAGGACAATCTATATGCAAACGCGTAAGGCACGAAGGATTCGTGCAAACGCGTAAGGCACGAAGCCATATATATATACTTACATATCTATGTATGTATATATAAATGTATATTTACTTA